GCATGACCCATGGACTGCTGCCAGCTGGTGGAGAGGAGAACCTGGGAATCATCTCAAGGAGCCCATGGCAGCCTCCCAGCCCCACTGCTCGCAGCCAGCAGTTGGGACGAACTGTCCAAGAGCCTCTGGCAGGGCTCTCTCATGGACGGCTCAGTCAGCGGGTGCCTCCCATGGCACAGACCAAGGTCTCGCTGCACGTCGGAGGCTGTTCCTGGGTCTGGCACAGCCGCGACACGGGTCAGAACTTGGGATCAAGCTTGGGAACCCACAGGATGATGGTAGCTCTACATGGCTGGAAAACAGCATCCCTGCCAGACATCCAGCTGTTTCTCCTCAGCCACACCAAGACAGGGTTTCATTCCCATGACAGATGATTACACTGCATGGATGAAAGGCAGGGTGACGGTTGGTTTTAGGGATTCAAGTGCAGACTACTCACATAGCCAGCATCCCCTTGCCAGAGTCCTGGGATCTCTTCACTGGCTCAGCAAGACTCAGGAGAAAGCAAATTAATCTATCATGCTCTCACTCCTCTCCTCCACAAACTGGTGTTGATATGAAGGAGGCGGTGCCGACGGCAACCCTCCTGTCATCCAAGAAAAGGTACTTCCAGTACCTACAAATGCTGTCCTGCCTATACCCTGCAATGATGATACTGCCCCTGATTTCTCTACACCAGCCCAACACACCATCCCAGAGCATTTACTGACAAAGCCAGTTTGACCAAAGCAGTGTGGATTAGTCAGTTTTTGCAGTCCATTACAGACTGTATTTACCAGGAAGGTTTGAGTCCACCCAGGGAGCAGGAGGGGATGCACTTCCAGGGATGGGTTCCCAGCCACGGGCCACCAGACAACTTGTTGGCATGGCAAGAGGCTGCCAGCTGGGTGCCAGTTTGGCACCCAGCTTGGTGGAAAACCTCGGAACAAAACTCCCTGGTGCAAAACTCCCACAAATGTGGGAGCTCTGCTGGGCTCACCTGCCTGCTCCCAGCCGCCACAAGCTTTCCCTGGCAGCCTCAGAGGCAGCCAGCTCCACCCCACTGGTAGCTGCAGCACTGGCGTGTGCCTTGGTGCTGGAGCTGGCAGGGGTTATGCTGGCAAAAGCCATCACAAATGCTTAGCTCTAGATAAAAAAGAAACCCATGGGGCCAACGCAGCTCATAGCTTCAACCAGAGTGTAAGCAGAAGTACTCTCTACCTGGCACAAGTCATATTTTCCATACGTGAAGGGGATGGTGGGACTCGCTTGCACAAAGTTTGTAAGGAAAACTTTCCAGGGCAGACAAGCCAGAAAGCGGAAGGAAGGAGGAGGGTCTATGTACTCGCACTAGGGACTTCCTTGGGTTAGATGAAGGGTCAGGGCCAGGTCTGTGTGACTCACCATGCTTTTCTGAGACATGCCGCTGGCCTCATACAACTCCTGCTCCAGCAGAACCAAAGCATGATGGGCCATCGCTGGTACCAGGGAGAAACATGGGAGTTGCAAGAGCTGCTATAAAAAAATATCCCTTTACAACCTGCGAACCGAAGACACTACCCATGAGCTGCTGGTAAAGGAGAATCCCCTTCCACCCACTGTTTTGGGTGCTTTGTGTGTAGTAGAAAATATCTGCTGGTACCACCAGATGGACAGGATACCCAGGCTTCTGCTTTCAGTCACAGTTCTGTGAACAGCCTCCAAAGGCAAAATCACCAAGAAAGAAACCAGCTGTGAAAAGCAGCCCCAAATTTTTCCAGTTCTGAGTTTGCAGTGCATTCACTGCTTACTCACTTCTTGCTAAGTCTAGAGCTACTGGGTCAGGCCCCCACCCTCCCCGCCGGCACAACTACTCCTTACAGCTTGGAAGCTATTTTTTCCCACCCTACTATCTAAAAAAAAAAAATTGGCGTGAAAGCTTTTATCATCCTGAAAACATGCCAACTGCGAAGGCGACTCTGTGTCTCAGACGCCTTTTTCCTGGCAGATTTTAAGTCCTTTGCTCAACTGCTAGGATGGCGGGGGCAGGCGATGCCTGCAGCAGCAGGCTGTGAACTGTAGTTTCAAACAGTCACGTTTAACTGCTGCTAAATACCCAGGAGACCAACATTTTCAAACAGCGGGCTAAGAGCTAGACACACAGCCAAGTGACAGCGTTGGCCCATCTGAGGGAAAGAAAAGGTGTGAACGTGCTGCACAGTGATGCTGTGTGTGGAGATGAAGGGCCACCAGCATGGCTACAGCTACCAGGCAGTACTGAGGGGGGTCACCCGGCTCAACACCTCCACCTGGTCAGTCACCCCTTCGTGTCCCAGATAATGAGGCTTCAGCCCTATTGGGTCCCAGTGGTTTGAAGGGAAAGGATGGGACCCAGCAGCCAGGCTGAGCAGGGGAGAAGTGCTGGGTGACTGCGTTGTTGGTGTCCAAATTTCCAGTGACCAGCTCTGGCCATAACCACCACAGCTGGCAACCTAAAGGTGCTGGGAAGTCCATGTGCAGGCCCAGACATCGGGACAGCTCCTGCCTTGATGTCACCCTGGAAGAGCTACACAAACCGCAGAGCCCTTCACTCTGGTGATGCTTTTTGGGGCTCCAAAGCACTCGGAGCTGGTTTTGCACGCAGAAATCCCTTTTCCACTCCAGCCCCAAACTGCAGGGCTTCTTAGAAAAAATTGCACAGGATGAGAAAAGGATGCAGTCCTGTCAGGCTTTACCCTTCTAGAAATACAAGGCGGCTATCTCTTGGCACATGACCCACAGCGACATCTACCCTAGTACCTACCTACAACTAGCCCTTCGGCCAGCTGACGGTTCTCCCGAATGCTGCAATTCAGGCCATCCAAGCATTGCTTCAACTCTAAGTTATTTGGAACCACTTGTGAAAAGAAAACTAAGTAGTCTGAGAAGGCAGGAATTGATAGCCTTTCAGATTTGCTTTCACCCTAGGGAGAAGTTACTAAGAAGAAACTGGTCTGGAATGGAGGTACGTGGGACAATCCACCTAACTCTCCAGAGACTTTAAAGGACGTTCTCTGTGCAAAATAGATGGTGCCCAGGAAATTGGTGCTTGTCAAACGCAATCACCGCTCCCGCTGGATCTCTTCAAAGTACAGTCATGATGCACCGCGTGCATCTCCCAGGGGAGGGATATGGTCCCACCTGTAGCACACAGCCCAGGATGGCATTTTATAAACTTGCCTGGGGCTTCTCTCCAGCTATCACACCGATCTGTGATGGTGCAGAGCAACACATCAACAGCTGCTTGCGAAGCAATCCAGCTGTACAAGGAGGCCAGGGCTCTCCTTGTGTGTCATGTATTATCTAAAAACCACAAGACAAAGAAAGCTGCAAAGCTCCTGCAAAGCACAGAAGACAAGCAGAAGTGCTCCAACATGCCATGCAAGCTGCCTTCTGTCCCTCTTGCCCTCCAGATACGCTTCTCGACCCCCACCGAGTGCCCTGTTCACTAATGAGAGGAGGAACCTTCGTCTTCCTTCATACTTCTATGTCTTCACCTTCTTCATCTCTTGCCTGCCCTCCATTTAAGCACAAGGATGGCACCTTTCTCAGGAGACACGTAGCTATGAGATGGGGTAAAGGGGTAAACAGTAGGCTTATGGAGAAAACCAGCCCAAAAAACCTTAGCTTGGTCCAAGTCTTAGTCACATCTTGGGTTGCTGGGAGCCACAAGCAGCAAAAGCAGCTGCAGGCCATGGGCAGGAGGTGACGTTAGTGCACAGCCCCCATGTCCAAGACCCAGCTCTCCAATGTGGTGCCCAGCCTGCATAACACGAAGCATGGCTGCAGCTGGGGCTGGCATTTGGAGCTCAAAATCCAACATGGCCTAAAAGAAACACAATCAGATGCTGCTAAGAGAGCAAGCAGAAACCAACCAGGAGGTGGGGAGACATTTCCAGTTGTTTGACCCCACCACAGCCCTCTGCTTTCCAGAGCCTGGGTCCCGCAGGGCATTACAGCGTGCCGACAAACAGCACAGCAGTGTTCACCTCCCAGCACTGGCACAGGAGCCATCAGGGGAGAGGAGAGCCCCGCCAGCCCTCTGCCAGCCCTCGAGCAACAGGGTGGAGGATGGGACATAGCCAGCATCTCTCTGTGGCATCTGCCAGCAGGACTCTCGTGCCAGGCCTTGGGGGAGGAGGGGTGGCACAGTGACATTCCTCTAACAACAAGCAGCATCAGCAACAGCATCTGCACTGCCAGGGCTAAGAGACAGGCATTAGAAAAACTCCCTTTGTTCAACAGTGTCAACCTAGAGGGAAGAAAAAAAAGCAGCATTACTAGTGAAGCAAGAGACAGGTATGATCAAGGTACCTGCTACTCCCATTGCAGCTGGTTTTAAACACTAACTTGGGTAAGAGTCGGCTGCAGCTTCCATGCTCTGTTTAGGCATCAGAGTAAATTTCTTCCTTGCAGGTTTCAGATGCTCCTCACAGTTGACCCAAAATAGGCAGACTGCTTTTCCAAGGTTAAGAAGCATCAGAAAACTTTTATAAAGTTCAAAAGACAGCACTGACATTTCAGGGTGTCAAATCAGGATCATCTCAAATAGGGAACGGCCCTGCCTTCAGTTGTCCCCACAAAAATACATTGGAGTTTTGTGAAAATTGGTGTTTGGTAGAAGGCAAGGCCTCCCTCCGCTGCAGCGGTTCCCAAACCCCAACATGTAAGTGACCAGCTGAAGTTCACAGCCTGCAGCCAGGACACATTTTGGGATGCTTCCTATAGGGCAGGCCAAGCAGGGAACAAGACACAGGCCAAAAGTGAACAGCATCACCCATGGAAAGCACACACTTCCAGGGTAGGAGGAAGGCAAGTCTGTGAGTCAGATGTGATCTACAATTGATTTCACAAGGCTTCTGTTGCATGCTGCAACATCAGTCTAGTTGTTCACTGTACACATCGAAAAAACCCTATTCTTTTAAGTCATTTTTCCAGTGATGGGAATAAGGCCATATTTCAATTAGTATTTACCAAAACAAGAGCCAAACTCAGTACTGTGTAAAAGTGTGTTTATTGCAAAGCTAAATTTCTCACATAAAACAATGTCTCTGAACAGCAGCATCGGTCCTTACACAGATCTACAACAGCCTTCTGGGCTCCAGGGCTTGGGGTCTTGAACCATCTCAACAAAGCAGCAGAGAACCTCTTTTCAGTGTTGTCAGAAAGGGGAGGGAATTGACAAAAACCAGGTACATTGCCACTGGCACAATTTAAGAAATTGTGCCACTCGCAAGAAGAGAAAAGGTGTCAAGACACTTCGCAGGGAGCTTAATGTCTGCACAAAGATCTCGCAGAACACCCTGCTCTCTGCAGGCTGCTTGCCAAGGATCAGCTGCCACTGTCAGGAGAGAACTGCATTATTCCTGCAGACAGAAAACAGGACTGTTGGATTTAATAATCTGCTGAATTGCTTCCAAGGACTGAAGTGGCTGAGAGGTCATGTTAGCGATGTGCTCCTTTGCAGCCTGGAGTCCTCACACCAGCTCCAGCGTGCACATTTGGTCTCAGCTGACACCCTAGAGGGGTTTACCTTCTTCCTCCTGCCTCAGCCTCTTGAAGAGATGTTCACTGATGGCCATGAGGGGGTTGGCTCTGTACCTGGGATTGGCGATGACCTCATGAAACCGAGCCACTTCCTCCTCTCTGAGGAAAGAAAAATAAAACACAATTGCTAAGTGCTTCACGCAAAAGGAACTCAGCAGATAAGAACTCATAAAGCAGTTGGTTTCTGTACAGACAGAATGATCCTGGGTGTAAATCTCGGAAAGAAACAGTGTAAGAAAAATACCTACTTTACCCAAGGGCAAAGCTCAGATTGCTGCCAGTTTCATGGGAGCCAGACACTTGGTCTCATGCCACAGAGACAGAAACAATCACGTTAGTGTCCAACATCACTTGGAAATTTTTTTTTTTTTAGCGCTTTTCCCTAGTAGATCAGGAACAAGAGACTGTGGGTATCTGGTAAATCACTAAGAATGAAAACTACTTTGGATTGCACTAGCACAAAAGCAGATTCTGCTTTCAAGAACTCAGCTATTGACTCTTTGTTGCTCAGCGTAGAGGCTTGGTAAACCTATGTGCAACACTAGTTAGACACCATAGGAGAAGCATGACAGAATTACCTCTGCATGCTTGGTCATAGCTGGTTGCTGTGGAAATGGTCTCGTCTTAAAAAGCAAGCAAGCAGGAAGGAACAAGAACAGAACAGGAGTGTAAAAAAAACCACTGAGTTTTCACTAAGTCACATCCATTGTGGCCTCTCTATCTCCCTCAGACAGACTGCCAGGCTCTCCACAGCCCAGCCAGACACCCATCTTCACGTTCTCAGTAGTTGCTGTGAATCAGCAGAGTGCTCTTCAGCTTGCAGCATGTAGCTAGTTCCCTCCCCAGTACGGTCCTTCCCTTCAACACCAGCCCTGCCCCTGCCAGAGGAAAAGAGAGAGAAGCCAAACCTTGTGGCATTTGGGGCAATAAAGAGAGGCTTAGGGAACCTCCAGTCCTAACTAACATCCTGGAAAATTAACCTCAAGACCTTCCTCCAAATTTTTTCCCTCCCAAGAAGCACAGACTTCCCAGACCATGATGGCAGGATACGTGCCGCTGCTCAGTGCGTCTGTCCAGTTTTGTGCAGAGCAGAAGAGGGGGGCACACAGGGGATCATCTATGAGAAGACGGTGGTGGAGTTGCCTATTTGGATCTGTATACAAGTCCCTCCTCAAGCAGTGTTCCTCACCCCTGAGTTCCAGCACAATGAGACATTCACTGGTGGCACTCAAGGCCATGACCCTTGGGCTTCTGCAATGAGCCAAGGAGGGACTTGTCCAGAAAGGCAGAACTGTGCAAGACAGGCATCCCAGCACTGACACAGGCCAGTTTCAGACAGAGAAATGTATTCACAGAGTGTGCTGGACAGCAGTGCTGGGATCGGTAGGCTGAGTGTTCTCCTCAGCCTCAGTTTGAAGTTGAATGGCTCAGAACTGACAGAAATCCTGGAAACAGGGAAGACAGAAAGCAAATACTGCCAGATCACGGTGCCTAGCCCCAGGAGAGCTGTGCTGAGGGGAAATTAAGCTCTTGATGCCTAGTGGCAGTATAAAATATCCAATGGGTTATACAGAGGAATAAGGAGTTGCCAGATCAAGTCCAAGAATTATTCAAAAGCATTTAGTGCTTCACTTTACAAGAAAAGGTTTGGCAGATGCCAGTGGACAGCTGTCCTTGTAAGGGACGTACAGCATGTAAGTTAGCATCCCAGAGGTGTTCTAACAGAGCAGCTGTAGCTCCTGATGCTACACAGAGTTCCAGGAGCTCCTCACCTACACAACTGCAGGATGCTTTCCTATCAGCTAGAGCTACGTGGGCCTGGTGTCATAAGAGACTCAGCCACAACTGGATGTTGCAGCTCCAACTCAGCAAGCTGAGACAAGGGACGCACCACCTGGTTGATAACCACATCATCCATGCCGCACAGAGGGACACAGTAGAAACATACTCACTTGGTACAGCCAGAAGTGACAACTGTGGCCAGGAAGAACAAGATGACTGTTGGTGTGGATTTGTCCTGAAACCCCACAGACCACACACAGGAGGCCCAAGCCATCACTTTCTTTTCAATGATGCAGGGAAAATGAACTCTTAAAAAGGAGCAAGTGCAGTTTCCTGTGCTCTCTTTGCATAGATTTTACACGAGACAGAAGTGGAAGCAAACTGAATCCATTCAGAATTGACTAAGTCTGAGAGGGACTAAGGCAGAGGGACACCCACAAATATCCTGCACTATGTAAAGGGGAAAATCAAAGCTGCCACCTCTTCTAGGGCCTTCAGATGTGCAAGACTGAAACAGTGGAACTGGTTGCCTAGAGAGGTTGTGTGATCTCCATCCTTGGGGATATTCAAAAGCCATGTGGATGTGGTCCTGGGCAACCAGTTCTAGGTGGCCCTACTTGAGCAGGGAGGTTGGACCAGATGACCTCCAGAGGTCCCTTCCAGTCTCAACCATTCTGTAATACTCAGCAGGGACTGGACACTCTGATAACTGGGTACTTACAAGAGCCGGCATTTCTGAGCTTGTTTCATCAGACAGAAGTCTGCTGGTTCTGCCTTTGCTTTTACACGGCTGTGGAGAGAAGAAACAAAACAAATGAGTGAGTGTTATAGAGAAGTGGTAATTTAGCAATTGCTGGGGAGATGGAAAAAGTCCAGGGGTTCTGCATCTGCCTTCCCAGAAAATATAGGTAATTGTCCTGTACGGAAATTCTCCTGAAAGGCAATTACTTCCATAGCCAGACAGTAATGGAGATGCAAACTTCTGCCACAGACTAACAACAGCTTAGGAGTCAGGACTGAATGGGCAGGAGGTAAATGCACTAAAGAAAAATCAGATCACTTAGTTCTAGAACTGGTCATTAGCTGTCCATGCCCAGATCACTTTCTGCTTATCACCAACCTCCAGGTCAAACCAATACTGTTGCGTGGAGAAAAGATCCCATTGAACTTCCCCTCGCCACCAGACACACGTCACCTCTGCACATCTCATGTTCCTTGCTAACACTGCAGAGCTCCAGCATCGGCAGACATCAGTTATAGACAGTACCACGGTTACTCAGCAAGAAGAGGGAACTGCCAGCCATGCTTCGGATCCTGCAGCAGGACCACCGGGATAAAAGGTGTCACATACATTTTAAGATAAAGAATGGCAATATTCCTTTCTCCCTGTAAACACCTATCCTCGCCAAAGACTTGCCAGTTTAAGTCAGCTGCAAACAGATTAGCTAACGAGAAAGCACAACAACAAAGCTTCAGCTTTTGCCACCAAAGGTTTGCAAGAATATGGACTCATGGGAAAGCAGGATGGTGCACTATGTGGGGCTGAGGCACAGCAGCAAGCATAGATCTGCATTCTCTGCACCCATTTCTTATTCCCGGGCAAAGTCCAAGGAGATCAGAGGTGTAATCCCATCCCGCACAGGATACTGGAAGCACGTGGTGCCCGATGCCAAGCAGCGGCAAAGATTTACCACAAAGCAAAGCGCTGAGCCCAAGCAAGGGACACGCAGGAAGGGCAGTGACTGCTTTTGGGACTTAAAGTGCACAAGGGGAGTTGCTGGTAGAACTGGACATTAAGGAAAGGAGAAGAAACTTCCATTCCTCAGGATTACACAGATACAGAGGTAAACAGAAGCAAGTGGGGAAAAGGGTCTGCCCCCGCAGAGTGGCTTCCCTCTGATTTGCCCTGGGTCCAAGCCCCAACACACAGCCCAAGGGCGAAGAGGGTCTGCCTCCCACCCCTCTGTTGGGGCAGGGCTCAAGGAGGAATCTTCCCTTACTGGTGGGTGCTGGGGGCCAGCGCCTCCCCCACCTGATCTGCCCCAGAGCCCTTCAGCTTTCTTAAGGTTAGGAAACATGACAGTCCCTCACCTTCTCTTCAAGACAGCAGGATCTGGTCTCTTGTTGGCAGCATTACAGTGACCTCCTCTTCCTATTTCCCTCCCTGACCCGCTACCCTCCATCCTTTTATTCTGCATTTTCTTCCCCATTCATCCTTTCCTCCTCCTCCCTTACCCCATATTCCCTCACCCTGCTCACTTTCATCATCCATCTCTACTTGATCAGCTCCTGCTCCTTTTCCTCATCTCCACCTCTCCTCATCCTGGCTCATTTTATTTTTCCTCAAGGGGGATCCTCATGGACCCAAGCTGCCGAGGGCTGCTCTCACCACTGCCCTGATCACATGTGATTTATCCTCAGCCCAGAACAGTGTGGCCCAGCATCACAGCTCCCTGCCAGCCCAGACAAACCCAAACAGTGTGGATGCATGTCAGTCAGCCTTCGCAGCACAGAGCCTGTGCAGGAAAGGGCAGCCAGGCAGATCAATGCCTGCGTGCTGCTCCTGTACCCTTCAGTCCCTCTCGAGGTCACCCCAGCACTGCTGGCGTTACACAACAGGCCACGATTGCCCACGAGGAATGGTGACCAGCAAAACCAGACAAACACCTACAGGGGTTTGAGCAGCTCCCATCACACTGCTGTGTCCACTGGTACTGCAAGATACAGGAAGACCAGGAAGCATCTCTGCCCTCTTCACGTCTGTTAACTGCTTGGCACAGGAACAACTTCTTGTCCCAGTCTGCCTGGATTGCTCACAGAAGCACAGAGAAATCCCTTCTCGAGTTGGATGGCAACCTGCAATCACCGAGCAGGGGCTTGCCAAGTCGCCATGGCAGTCCCTTCAAAGATGAGTACCTCTGCAGAGGGTGACAATGCTTAAAGGAAAGCCTTTCCAAACTACAACCTGGTAAGTACAAGACCACATGCCCCAGAGGCTGTGCCTCTCCAGGGACAGCTTCTTCTGCAGCACACCACAAGGGCGCGGGGCTGCTTCAGACTGTGCAAGCCCAATTCTGCCTTGAGCCACCCCACTCACTATTTTAAAGGGCTTGGTGCTTCTGAAGGCTTTTCAGTTCCACTTAACAGCTCTGCCCCACCAGTCTGGCAGGTTCGAAAGGCTGCTGCCTGAATTTCCCCTACCAAACCACCAGCACACTGCCTGCTCATTTGGACCTTGCTAGTAGCCCTGTTTCATTACACTTCATTGCCTTCATTCGTTATAAAACAGAATAAAAATCTCACTGTAATGCTCTCTTACCCAGCAGGAGATCAAATTCCTGGAGAATCTAATCTTTTATTAATAATGCTGACAAATCACCAGAGTATTACCCTTCATTTATGTAATGATTCAAATCCTATAAAAGCCTCCTCTGATTATTTCAAACACTTATGCACACACATCCTCATGCAGTCCAGGAAGCCACAAGCCAGCAAGGGGAAGAAGAGCACTGCAACTCCTCCATGCCAGTACCAGGGGGGACTGCTTTTTGGTTGGCATGTCACAGGCAATCTGGGTGACATCAGTCAATGCCAAGCTCCCACCTCTGCTGGGCCGACTGCAGATGGTGCTGGCCAATCCTGAAATTCTCAGCCGGGGCTGGGCTTCTCTACTGTGCTGTGCCACAGGTGCACTGGGCTTTCTAGACACCAGAGTCTTGTAGCCAAAGTGAAAACAGAGCCAGAGTATGAACTCAAGCCTCCAGAAGGAGAGGAGGGCTGCCACACTTCCACAGGAGGTCTGGGTTTGGAAAGAGAGGGAACTGACAGTGCTTCTCTGAGGATGTAAGGCTGGAGATACGTGCAAGACCACTGAACGCTTCCATGTGTGCCACACATCCTCTGCCATGAAGTGTACTACAGAAGAGAAGAGCGATTGCAGTAGCTGGAAGGACCATTTTGGCCAATGTTCTGCTTTGAAGTAGCCTGCAGCAGATGGCCAGAGAGGGCTAAGACCAAAGCAAGCATATAGCCACATCCTCTCCACTATTTGCAGCTCAGAGACCTTGTTCCAGCTGCAGTTTATATACATGCAGTAACTCTCCAAGGAGCTCTCCTTATTGGATTTGTCAGGTCTCACCTAAACCTGCAGGCTTCCTTCAGCCATGACATGCTGCAGCAAGGAGCTGTGCAGAGCAGTGAGCCTCCTGCTTGCACTGAACCAGCTACTTGCTAGCTATGTTTGATGTCCTTTATTTCTCATACTGGAAAAGAAGATGAACTACTTCCTAATCACATCACACTTGATTTTATAGACTATTATGTTCCCAAGCCTCTTTGCCTCTATGTCCTGTCTAGGCTGAGGACTCCCCAGCTCACTTAGTCACCCCTTGAGCAGAAGCTATGCCAGATCGTCCACTGTCATCCTTGTCATCCGTCTCTGAGCCTTTTCCAGTTCTACTGTATCTTTTGAGCTGGTCCAGAATGGCAGGCTGCAGCAATACTGTATATTTGTACTAGATTATGCAGCCACCCAGGAAAGCAATCCCCAAAGGAAGCACCCTACCTGTCCTCCCTCCCCTGTACGTACTTTCTGCAAGCCACTCTCCTGGATAGCAGGGGCTCAGCCACCAAGGGGGGCTGGGGGAAAATGATGAGGGGGAATGACTCCTGAACACAACTTGGAGTCAGATGCCACATGTAGCTGTGGCACATCGTCACAGAAAGAGGGCAAAGACACCTAATTCAGGCTCAGGCTAAGCTCTGGCCCAGAGCTCCATCCAACCAACCCTCAGTGCTCTGCAAGACTTGAAACTCAGTGTGTACTTTTGCTGTTCATTCCCACTCTAAGAGAGGGCAGGCTGACTGAATGGCTGCATAAAGACAAAAAAAAAAAAAAGCTATTCAAAGAATTAGAAGCCAAGTTAAGGAAGGAAATATTTTCCCATGCTTAGATGCAAGGTTCATAGCTGCTGTTTGTCTGAGAAGTGACTCTCCAGAAGCACAGGGAACTGCCAACTCAGCCACGCTCTGTAGGTGGGTGTCCCACCTGGATCAGAGTTTATTTCTGGGGCATCCAGCAAATCACAAGAGGGTTCATGGTATCTCCAGCCATGATCTGCAACCAAAGAAGAGAGTGCTTTTCCAGACAGCCACCTTCTTGGCTCTTCTCTAATCCAAGTGCTTTCTTATGGTCAAAACAAGTTTCTGGTTCCAACCCCTACTGAGCAACTGGAGAGGAGGGACCAGCGTTTGTGCAGCACGCAGAGCACTTTTATTCTGCACTGGGGCATGTAAAAGCAGCTGCAACACTGACCAGATGGTCAGGCAGAGCACTGCATTAAAAAGGAGGAAACATAAGGGTAACCAGAACCCACCCTACGGCTGGCTGGGATGGTTGACATGTGAGTGTCAGAGGATCAGAAATAGCCCTTCTCTTTCAGTACAATAAAGGGAACGGAAACACCGTCTTTCTGTTCTTGTCCAAAGTCACACTGCAAGCCAATGGGGCAAACAAAGAGTCTGGCCAGAGCGTAAAGCTCTGCTCAAAGGACTTGAACTGCCTCAGGAGAAAGCCTGGAGGTCTGGCAGGACAGAGCTGCAGGCTGCAACACCTCAAGTCCAGATTCTCAGGTGAGCTCAGCAGCATTACACACTGGACACTTGTGTGTCTCTTGTACAACTCCCAGGACATCTGGCTGCTCCCAGCCTGTCTCATGCCAAGCCTCATCTGAGCAATACAGTTCCCCTCTTAGCTATGGATTCAGAAGACACATTTAACCTTTTTTCTTGTGGTGAGTGAAGCATGGAAGGGGGCGAAATGGAGTTGAGAACAAGCCCCTGTTTTCCTGACCACTGGCACCGAGCTTGCATTGCCTGTAGCTACAAGCTGAGCTGAAGGGCACTTCATCCTACAGGAAGAAGGGGAATACACAGCCCATCCCTAAATGGCACATACCTCTTGGGTGGCTTCCTGCCCCTGCCACCTGTGGTCAGGTCAGAGAGCTCAGGTAGGGCTTCCATCAACGGCTGCATATCTCCCACCACAGGTGTTGCTTTCCGCTTTGCTTCGGCTTTTTGCTTCTGCTTGGCTAGCTTCACACTTTCTATTTCTGAATCAGAAACAAGACATTACTGGAGGAAGGGGAAGCGTTTGCAAGAGATAACCCTTGAGCTAAAAAATTCATAGGCTGCTTCACCATCTACAGGAAAAAACAGGTCAGAAGTGATTTAAACCAGGAAAAGACTGAAAATAATGCAGCTGGGTAGTTCCCTCCCTTGCTGTGTTTGCTTATACCTATATACATCTCTACTGACATTTGCAATGGGAAGTGAAATCCCCAGACTGATTTTGTCTGAACTGTTTCCATCCCTTGCACTGCTCATTGCTCACAGCAACACGGTACGGGAGTCCTGGGGTGGAAAAAAACCACACTGACCTTGCACAGAATTAGGAGAGAAACAAGAGGGGAAGGGACAAACCAAATACAGTCAGCTCCACATGTGGCATTAAACAGTCACAGTCCCATCTCTGCTTTGCTGTCGGGACAAAACAATGGTCTCCTAGCACAAGCAGAAAAGATGGACTTAATTTCTGTTGTTTACTTAGTTTGGAGCAAGTCAAAGTCTCACCTTCGTGACTCATGGTGGAGCTCAAGCAGTCAGTCACTGGATAAACTGCGCCCTTAGAAAAGCACTGCACCAAGTGACAGACACAGAGGCAGCTGGCTTTTCCTTGAAACCACGTTTACCAGTCTCCCTGCAGCAGCTCTGAGCCAGGCTGTGGGCACATAAGGTTCTACAAAGGTTACAGCAGTCTCCCTTTTTGGCCATGGGAGGTGGGCATTGAAAGCCGCAGGCTTCTGCCTCAGTCCTCAAAGCTCTCTGGTGTAGAAATAGGTCCCACAGCTGCCCAAGCCTTACAGAGCCAGCAGCCCCCAGGGTGAACCCCAGCAGAACATGCTCTCCTCTTGGACAGCCCACAAAAGCCCAGCACTGCTAACAAGCCTCCAGCTGAGCTCCAAGATGCCCCAACCTGTCCCAGAAGTCCCTTGACGATGACACCAGAAACAGCTAAAACTCAGCGGGATCCATAAGCTCCTTTTTCTTCTGTCAGGTAATGACTGGGCCTTGAAGCCCGCTGCATTACCTTGACCCCCATGAGGGGTACCAGTGCTGCGGGGTACGTGATGGAGGACTCCACCTCCTCCACGTACACTCAGAGGAGGCCGCAGTGGAAGAGCAGGCTTCTGCTTATTGCCTTGGACAATGAGTGTATTGCAAGGATGAGCCTCAGCACTGAGCTAAAAACTCCTTGTCTGGACAGGACGGAGCGCAGTGCCAGCAGCCGTGGGGCCAAGCTGGCGACACAGGGAGGCCAACAGCTGCCAACGCAGCATGGCCACAGAAGCAGGACTAAATCAGCACAAGTATTTTTGATGGGAACACAAAGGCAGCCAGTCCCACTCTACAGACGGCAGGCAAGATGCCACCAGCAATTCTGGGTCTAATCCTGCTGCCCACATTCAAGAAAGCAGAACTCAAATTCACTGGCTCCTTTAATATCCTTGTCTTGTTTGCTCCCCAACTCAGCCGAGTCAAAGAGCAACAGTTTTTCACGAACTGCAATTTTGCTGTACATGGATGTTTGTGACAAATGTGGATTGTAAATGCTTCTCCTCACAGCAATCCCTGCCAAGAACACAGCTTTCTGTTCTGCATCACTTCTTTTTTTGGTCTGGCTTTATGAAGCCGAGTACATCAGTGCTTTCATAAACAGTATGTGCTCAAAATTTTCAGACACCTGATTCTGCGCAAACATCCCAAATTCTTTTCCTATGAAGTCTTGTTCGTCTGAGGAGCCATGCGATATATGTATTTTTAAATGTGCATACTTCTAATGTCTGAAGCATTGCATAATTTTTTTCCCTCTCTAGTCTCTCCTGAGATGATTTATTGGAATGGAAGAAATCTCCAAGTTTTGCATTTGCACCACTGGACTGAACTTTAGTTCCCAGGGTCTTGGCATCCAGTGTCACAAAAGCAGCCCTGGGACAAGAAGAAACAACAAACTCTTGGGAAGATTTAGAAAAACAGAGATGTAATGATAACAACTTCAGCAGTCCAAGTTGGGTTCTCTTCTGGGGGGCAAACACTGCAAAACCCACAAGGAATTGGCAGAGTTATCTGCATCAGATAAAAATCAATGCATTTCAGTTGACTGCAGCTCTCTAAGGTCACAATGTTAGAATGCCAAGTTTCATTTAAAAATCTCCATCTCTGGAAATACCAGTTCATTTCGGTCCATCAGCTAATAATAGTAATATCAGTTTCTTTACTGATGTTTATATAGGCTCTTTACAGCTATTCCACTTTTCTTAATAACAAGCTGCACACCAGGTACTAACAGTTGCTGACTTTTCTTACAGAAATCCCCAGGTACTTGCTAGCCTTAGTAAAACATTTGCTAGCGAATGCTGGTATTTGCCAACTGGCCACAAGTTTAGTGGGGAAGTCAAGAGATCCAGCAATTTAGGTACTTCTGTATCTGGAATGCACTTCTAATACCTAGTATCTTCTAAGACAGAGATAATTTGGCCTGAAGTTTTCTGTCTTGGTGTTCTCCTCAAAACAAAGCCTCTGCCTTTCATTTGCATTCCCTCATCTTAGTAATTTCAGAGCCAAGAGAAGAGGAAAGAGGCCACGGCAGGGCCAAAATAACATACGTGATCTTGAGAAAGACTGATGCTACCAAGACAAATATGCAGGAGGACACGATTAAGAGAGTGTAGGGATCCTACTTCTGGATTTTTCCAAGGTGGCTGACCTTGACTATGGGAGCAGTGCTGTCACCTAACTGCAGGAGCAGAAGCTCTGTTTCTTGCATAAGACACCATTCCCATGTACCCCTTTTACTGTGGATTCTGTCCTAAAATGCTGCTGAGGACATGCTTTCCTTCATGGTACCTAGTATCAGTCCTGGTATCCGGGGAGAGAAAGCTCAACTGTGCTCCAGCAGTCGCCTCCTCTATCACCACAATAGTATCAGAAAAGGAGACACCTTTAGGAGCACCAAAACTGCAGCCGGCAGGCCAGACGTTAGGACTAGCACAGCCATCTATGCTTTGTGCCCAAAAGGGACACCGGGGGTTGCAGATGTCAAAGGTACTTGGAAGTTGTTGGTTGGTGATAGGGAGGAGGTTTCCTTCACGCTCATGGTGTTAAATTATCAGCTTTCTTTGTAAAAGGAGCCAGACACCTTCACTGCAACCAGTGAAATCACAGGTTGATGGACTTGAGCTCAGAACTCAGGAGCCAAGAGCATATGGTGTGGCAAAAAGCCACATCCCTCAGCCCCAAACAGTCTGTCAGCAACTCTGTTGGGCAGGAAGGTGTTAAGGGAAAAGACTGTCCCAAGAACAGCTCCAGGTGGCAAGAGGAATTCCTCTGCTACACCAGGTAGCACAGCATCATCTCTTACTGTGCTGAGATACTTAAAGCAAAAATACAGACACTTCCCACAGGAAACAGGAGCATTTCTGCCGTGGGCTAGTTTTGTTTAGCTCATATTTCACAGCTTCGAGAAAGACCAGACTGTCTGGTAAGTGGGTTCACTGACCTGTGGCACGTGGGAAAGAACAGTAACACAACCAGCAGCGTCCAGAGACCTCCCTTACAGAAGGCCAGGAGGGCCCACTGCAGGCTTTCACCACAGAGCCTTGGGATTAGCTGCTGGCTGCATGGGGTTCAGCTCCAGGCTGTCCTACCATCCCCAGAGCTCCTCAGGGAGGAGGAGCTCCACTATACAGCTAGTCATATATGTACCAGAGCTTTAAAAGACAGAGAAACATGCTATGCCTACATGGGCACAGTGTCCTATCTGGAAAAATAAAGGTTTTATGTAGTCACTTACATTATACATGGAGGAAGATCAAAAGTAGGTGTGGGGCAATGACTCAATCTCGGTGCTGAACACTGAGAAACAATACCTGGGACTTTTACCCCATGTGCTGTAGAGCAGATGTGAAGGTTTCTGAGAAGCATTCAGTCTCCTCCAGCACGGCCCAATGCTGCCACCCACGCCCCACGGACAGAGAGATCCAACACAGCCACACTCTGTGATGCCCATAGTATGGCTGTGTTTCGGAAAAGTACTTACTCTGTAGCCATCTTTCTTTCCTCAGCTTCATTTTTTCTTTTTTGGAAAGAATCGTTTTTTCTTCTAGACCTAGAAAAGAAGAGAGACGTGAGATGGAGCCTGGCTCCTGCACACAGATTCAGTGCTGAACGTTTCCCAAAGATAGCAGAGTCCATAATATTTTGTTCAACCCTTGATGCTTTTGAACTTGCTGGTAGGTCAGGTAGGCTGCAGGCAGACCAGGGGATATACCACATCTCAACTTTTAGCCGAACAAATCAAACCTAGCTCACTATTGGTTAAGAAATAAGAAACAGGCAAGTAGATCAGATCATCAGCACCCTAGGCCCTGTTTTCTCAGGCCAGGTAGCTCTTTGAGAAAAGCTTTTTGAGAGACCCTTGCCCCATGTCCTGCACTTCTGCATGAACCTGGCCTGGGAGCTGGCCTTTTCTTTTGAAGACGAGCCACAAGTCACGGGAGGTCCTACAGGTTCCAGAACTGGGAGCAAAAAGTAAGTTTTTATCTGAAAATATGCAGGCTGATAAAGCTAAGAAGAAGGAAAACACGGGCTGCAGACACGTGCGAGGGTAGGAGTGGGAATGGCAACCTGCCGCGGCTATCAGCATCTGCCTGCCCAAGCAACGGCCTCAATGCCTGCCCAGACAGCACGTAGCAGGCAGGGGAAGGACTGAAAAGGGTCTGAAATACGCAGATCCATGGCAGCCCTAAGGAGCAGCCAATTACTAACAAAAGGCTAGTACCTACTATATACCAAATTCGGTACTTGGAAACCAGCTCTTGATCACCGATATCCAATACCAAGTAAAATAACGTCACAAATATTTTTACTGCAGATCCCTTGCAGACACTATAAAATTTTATCTTATCTCCAGCGTTTAAAACAAAATTGACTTTAGTCAACTTCTCTCCTGAAATGTGCTGTGAATTCTGCTACAGGAATGCCAATGGAGAAATAAGCTCCCTAAAGACCACTCCTCTCGCCTTAGATTACTCTTAAGGCTGGAAAAGAAAAAATACCCTTTTTCTCCCCAGAAGAAACAGAAGAAAGGAATTCACTGCAACTCTAAAAACAACTCACTGAGGACTTCTCTGAAGCTGCAAATCTTTCAGGATGATTTAAACAAAAACAGGATCATAATTTAGTAATTTCAATGCCTGTCGTGGTTTAACCCCAGCCAGCAACTAAGCACCATGCAGCCACTCACTCACTGCCCTCCCCCACGCAGTGGGATGGGGGAGAAAATCGGGAAAAGAAGTAAAACTTGTGGGCTGAGATAAGAACAGTTTAATAGAACAGAAAAGAGGAAACTAATAATGATAATACTAATAAAATGACAACATCAGTAATAAAAGGACTGGAATATACAAACGATGCACAGTGCAGTTGCTCACCACCCGCCGATCGACACCCAGCTAGTCCCCGAGCGGCGATCCCCCCGCCCCTACCCCCCCAGTTTATATACTGGGCATGACATCCCATGGTATGGAATACCCCTTTGGCCAGTTTGGGTCAGCTGTCCTGGCTGTGTCCTGTGCCAACTTCTTGTGCCTCTCCAGCCTTCTCACTGGCTGGGGATGAGAAGCTGAAAAATCCTTGACTTTAGTCTAAACACTACTTAGCAACAACTGAAAACATCAGTGTTATCAACATTCTTCTCATGGTGAACTCAAAACATAGCACCGTACCAGCTACTAGGAAGACAATCAACTCTATCCCAGCCAAAACCAGAACAATGCCTTAAGATGAAAACAAGCCTGCTGGGGCCAGGGGGATTTCTTCATAAAGCCAACAACCACCACCATGTTTTGAGTTTCTAGAGGACATTGAGAACGAAGCTTTCACTGCCTCGTGTCCCAGAAAAATACATCACTGCAGTCAGTGCACCCAAGAAGCAAGAAATAAAACCAGGCCTAGAAGCCATCACTTACTTACTCACAAAGCTCAGGGATGTCTTGAAGGGTTTGTATGTGACTGATGCTGCTATCCATTTTTCTGTCTCCTGCATAAAGCACCAATGCACGGGCACCCTTCTAAGCCTGGGCCAGCAGGACAGCCTCGCCAGGATGCAGCGTCGGGCAATAACAGAGACAAACATCTAATCATGTTAAGGGCAAATTTCCTCAATCCGTTTGCTGTGGTATCAAAGCAGATGCTAAAACAACCATTTGCATGTTCCAATAACCAACTCCCAGCTACCCCCACCCTCAATCACCCCACGTTCCTGTGGTTTCAGGGAAAAAAAGAATGAATCACAAGAGGCCAAAACGCAAATTGTGCCCTGATGATCTCTGAAGGGCTGCCTGCACAAGACACCTCTGCCCTGCCTTTCTGGCTGCCCGAGCCTGCCCGGATTTCAGCGGCGGGGGGGGGGG